CAAACAGTTACAGCCTCAGAAACCTCACAGTCAGGAGTTGGTCATGAGAGACATTGAGAGAGTCGTGATGACAGTGAGAGAGGCTGTATATTATTTGTCATGACCATTTAACCCTGCCCTTACAGCATAAAAGCAACATGGACAGTATGCTAACTGACATGTTTGACTGTGTTCCGATAAAACTTTATTTACAAACAGTAAAGCTGTAGTTTTCCATCACCTGATCTGGATAATGCAACCTTGACACAAGAAGAGAAGCCTCCAGGCTAACATCAAATGATCTCTGGTGCTTCAACTAAAAGATCAGCCATTTAAATCCACCAGCCACTCCAAGGAGCAAGGTGCATAGTCTCCTTTCCTTCAGTCTTACAACCTGGGAAAGCTGAAAGATCCACACTATTTAAGAATGTCTCCATTGTATAAGAAAGATGGGGGAGCAATCCCTGAATTAAAAGAAATAAAGAGACTAACCTGATCCTAGACTCTACCATGTACCAAAGTGTAGAAAAAAGGCGAGCAGGGGGTTAGGAAAGACATAATTGGTCAGTCTACACAACTAGCATACATATAATTGTTGTTGTGGGCTGTGGAGTTGGAACCAGCCCATAGCTCATGTTCCAGCTGCTTTTTAGAGGCAGTTAATTACACAGGAGGAGATTGCCCATCCTTCTATGGGGCAGCTGGTGGACTTGAACCATATGCCTGTGGTATTGCAGTGCAGCTTCTTGCCACTAGGCCACCAGAGCTCCCTACATATAGTAGAAATTTTAAATATACTAAAATTGGTAACTGTATCCTGGTTATATCTGAAAATATCCTTAATTTATGGCAACACTGAAGTTCTGAGAAATAAATTACTATGATATATCCAATTTACCCTGAAATTAATCATAAAAGAAATCAGCTTGTGTGTGTGTTTATGTATGTGTATGTGCAGTGGAGAGAAGGAGAGAGTGTAAATGATCAAACAGTTGGAATAAAATATTGGTAATGGATGGATCTGGGCAGAGGGAGGATGGTGCTGCTTTATACTGTTTTTGCATCCTTGTTGATGCATTTGAAATCATATCCAAATGAAAGGTTGAAAAAATATAAAGGAATATAATTTGTGATTAACAAGTGTCACATTTTTGGAAGAAGAGAACATTGAGATCTAACAAGATTCTTGTATATGGAGACCTTCGTGGTAGCTGAGAGGTAATTGACCTTTACAAAGCACAGTCTGGCAGTATCGGGGATCAGAAATGGCAGAGAGGGGTATGTGCCTAAGAATGCTGGGCCTACTGGACCTTACGAGCAACATTCACTCCAGAATGAAGCTTAGGAGGCTGGAAAGAAGGGTGAAAGGAAACAGGAAACCAGGGGGGAATGGGAAGGGCACCATTACAGTGTGGAGACTGCAATAAATGCACAGACTGTGTGTGTACATTGTTGAATGGAAAACCAATTTTCTCTGTAAACTTTGACTCAAATCATAATAACTTTTAAAAAACTAGTCTGGGAATCATAAATAGGCTTGTTGGATTTTATGGCCTCTTATCTTCGGAAAAAGACACCATGCTTGGAAAAGTAGAAAGTCAGGGAAAGAGGAAAATCCTCAACAAGATGGAGTGGTGGCCTTATGTATATCAGCGATGAGGAGGCACAGGACAGCGAACAACTTGGGTCAGTTGTTTATCAGTCTTGTTGAGTTAAAGGCAACTTGACTCATGACATCTACCAACAGCAGCAGCTATCCTAACACTGCTGTGTGATTGGAGAAGAGTGCTGCGTGTCCCATGGAATGTCAAAAGAGCCAACGGGTATCTGAAAAGTGCAGCCAGAGGCAGGGCTGGTGAAGCTTCATAGCCCTTTAGGTCTGTTGTTAGGAGGGACATCATGCTTGCAAAGGCAGAGAAGGGCCAGCAAGAGAGAGGAAGACTGTCAGTGAGATAGATTGGTACCGTGGCTTCGGCAGTGAAATGAGATATAAAGAGATGATAAGAATGGCAGAGGATCAGACAGGGCTCAGACCTGCTCCTCACAGGGTCGCTACAAGTCATAGACGCCTTGAGGGCACCTAACACAAAAACAGCATGCCCCAAACAGATACATTTGTTAAGTACCTCCAGACTATTCTATACCCATCTCTTCAGAGCAAGACGTTGTTGTGTGACATTTGCCTGTTCCAACTCCTGACACCCTATAGAACTCCTCCATGGGGTTTCCTGAGCTAATTAGGACTAGGTATAAAAAAGAAACCACCCCCACTCCACAGCTCTGGAGAGGATGGTGGTTCAGGGCAGCTTTCCACTGGGTCTCCAAGGCTGTAAAGCTCAATGGAACAGTGTGCTCATTTTTCTTCTACAGAGAAGCTGGTGGATTTGAACTGTCAACCTTATAAACCATCCTAAAGGACCATGCAAAGCAACCCAGACATGAATGTGATCTTGAGACTCATCTTGGTTGATTGAGCTCAACAATTTCTTTTCCATACCTGGAATAGGATAAACTAGTAGTGTTTTACCCCAGAGCTCATGGACTCAACATTGGCATTGGGAGCTTTGACAGGAAGATAAATGTAGAAGTTTTTTAACATGTTGCTGCACACTTTTAAATTGACAACCGTGCTTAGAAACACATTTTTCCCCACTATATCCATCATTTGCGGCAACGTTTAACAGAGCTAAACCACAACCAGCCTTCCCTACTCCATTAATGATTCACCCAGGTCTCCTTGACCAGGAAGACCTGGTATTCTCTGCAATAAACCAGAAAGTACTTCGACCATTAACTCCATTACAGAAATTAGGAATTCATTAACAAGGAAGGTGGTTTTAATTATTCCATGCACATATATATCCATATCTGGAAAATTAGGCCTAAAATATTTCAAGAAAGCAGGATCCACCATTTTTAAGTTATATTTGTTGTCTTTCAAGAAAGCAAGCTTCCTTGTTTTTAGTTCTATTTGTTATTCATTGACTTTTGTTAACTCTGTAGTGGACATTTCAAAGTTGGTTGGTTGGTTGGTGTTTTTTTATTGGGGAGGGGTGAGATTTAATTGAGAAAACACTATTCTTTATAATAGCTCCCCCGCCCACCCCCCGCCCCCTAAGATTTGGAGAAACAACATAATCAGATTTGCAAACACAGTCTTGAAAGAACTTTGGAAAAAGAGTATGTGTGGTCCTCTCCAGGAGCAGACCTTGCGTGGCCGTTGAGGATAGAGCTGCTAAAGTAAGTGTAGGAAGTCAGGAAAATTTCTTCTAAAGGTGTGTTCTGTGAAGCCTACAGCAGCCAAAGAAAATGTACCAGAAGCCCTGTGCCATGTCCTGTAAGAATAGACGTGGCCTCAGAGAGGCCTGAGAGGAGGCCCAGCCAAACACTATGTCTGTGTACCTCTTTCCCTCCCTGCTTTTCTGACCTGTTAACTTTCCTATCTTTACCCAGGGAGTAAGGCCTTTTGCCAATCCCCATCCCGCTTGAGGAAGTTCCTTAAAATATTCTAGGAGGATGGACAGTTGGGCATGGCAGTGTGCTCAGAGCCCACACTCTTGGCCTTGCCGTTTACTTCTATACAGAGGCATAGCCATCATCTCTTAGAAGGGGGAGGAGGCATTTCTAGTCAGAAAGTTAGAAAAGTGATTAGAGGCCCCTCGATATATTGAGATGAGTCTGGGACTCCCCCACCCCAGAAGCTTTCAAGGGGTGCCAAGATTTCTCTTTTACCAAACCACTGTTGAAATGCACACAGTATTTTTTAACTTAAATGCATTGAGTATTTGTTATGCCTGAGGTTAAAACTGTAACTGAGAAGGAAAGCCTTTGACAGAATTTACTTCGTTTCTCTAAGTCAGAATCATCCCATAGTTTCATTAATCAACTTTTTCAGAAAACTCTAAATTCTTATAAAAGCACATCTAGTTCAATGGCTTAGTCAGTAAAGATTTGCACTCCTAACCCAAAGACCACACCTGTCTGGTGGTTCAAAGCCATCATCAACTCCATGGAAGAAAGATGGACAGTCTCCTCTCCTGTGATTCCCAGGTTTGGAATCCCAATGTGAGTGGGTTCTGACTCAGTGGCAATGACTGACTGAATGTTATGCAATCATACAATCCTCTTTAATTCTTATACCCTAAATCATGGATTCTGCATCCTCAATCATGAGCCTTCCTCCCAATCTGACCTACCATGACCCTTGTTTAACTTGTGTCCATATAGATCTGATGCATATTTCCTCTTTTAAGGTTTCTATAAATGTCTGCCAGGTTCAATATTTCTGTGTTATCTGTAGTCCTGTTTGTCCACAGGCATGAGTATGTGTTTGCATTAACTAAGTAACTGGACAAAGTTGGACTTTTTAACTTTAAAGCTCATGTGAGAGAGAGAGAGTGTGTGTGTGTGTGTGTGTGTCACACACACACAAACACTAAACTGGATGCACCTTTATTTGCTCGTTGTTGACTCTGAACTCCTAGAATGGGGTTTGGCACATGGAAGACTTTCAATGAGTATTAATTAAATGAGTACTGATGAATTGGTTAACGTGTAATACTCTTATCCTTTGATTTAGTCCAGTGTTTCTTTATGAGTCTACCCTTGAGAACTAACTAGCAACACTATTGTGCATGTGATAGAGATGATTCTTCCTTCTAATAATTACTCATTTTCTTCATTGTATATACTCTGTAGCTATCCTTACTATATTTTTGTTTCATTTTTAAATGTGCTCTTCTCCTTGGGAGCCATAGAGTTGATTTGTGCTCCTCACAATCATAGAGGACAGAGTAGAATTACCCGGTGGGATTTCCAAGGTGGTTGGTCTTTGCTGGAGCTGACTGCCACATGAACAGATGTGGGTCCCAACATTCAGCAGCCAAGCATTTAACCACTGTACCACCAGAGCTCTTTAAAAGCACTGTTTGCTATGGATAAAGGGTGATTAGGGTTTGTGGGGCCCTGGTTTGTTGTATCTGCCTGATTAACCCCTGTGGTCGTGCTTGGATGTTTTACAGCTTTTGGACCTCTTCATCCAGTGGGATTGGTCAACCTACCTTGCTGACTATGGTCAGCCCAACTGCAGATACCTCCGGGTAAACCCAGTGACAGCTCTGACTTTGCTTGAGAAGTGAGTATCAAGTCCAGTGATTTCTGTCCCAAGAAATTCTTGCTTTAGGCAAATGCCTTAGTTGCCTACCGGGAAGCAGTGGCCTTTCTGAAGCAGAGATGCTGTGACTGTGCTGGCTTTGCGTTAGCCAGCTGTTGAGCATCTTCCAGTCTGTCAGCCACATGGTAGAGTCCACTCTGCATTGTGGCCACGCTCTGGCTTTAATTAAATTAGTCAAGATCTGGCAGGCCAGAGACCAAGATCCCACGAAATTGGGAAATGGGAGTGTTTTTTCACAGTAGGTTACACACAGAAGCTTTGACTGTGCTCACAAGACTAGCTCCAGGAAGGCCCCCGAAAATGTTCAGGACCTAGCCAAGGTCTCCTGAGTTCCCTGATCTGGGCAGTATTGCAGGTTCACGTGGATGGCCAATGGGGCATCAGCATCCTGGGACGACAGGCACAAATCTGAGGGCAGAGTAAAGGTTATAGGCCCGAGAATAAGCTCAGGGATATACGTCCTCCTCTTGTTACGTACTATGTAATGAGATAGAAGCTCAAGGCCAGGACACAGGGTGCAGACAAGAGCAAGATCAGTGTGTGCGTTTGTGCTAAGAAGTAAGAAAAGCCCAGAGTGCAACTTCCTCCTAACCAAGGTGGATACTGATGCCTCCGTTTTCATTTGTCTCTCATGGTTCTTGCTCCCAATGACCTTCATCCCTAGGATATCTAGAGAGTAAGTACTTTATTCACTTGGGCCTTTTCCACCACTTTGGGGCAAGTCCTTCCAGTTTCCTCTCAGACACTAATGACTATTCTAAACTCCTCTCCTATGAGCTGTCCTGCCCTGTCATATTAATCCACTAAATCAGCCTGGTGCCAGCTAGCTGGCTGGCTCCTTGATCCTTAGTCCTCAGAGTGACCCTTGACTTGCCAATTCCTTTGGGGCTGGGAGTGGTGGCAGGAAGTTTTCTCCGTCAGTGCCAGTTAAAGGGTTGTTCCCACTTCAGTCCCTGGGATCCTCGGGATTCTCGTCTGAACACAGCCTGGAATTGAGCCCTGGCAGAATGGAGCTGGCGCTTCCCAGCAGTGTCCTCTACACTAGTCCTGAGGACCCTGGTAAGATTCTTCTGTCGGCGCCAGTTCAGCCCAAGGGTTAATTGGAGAACGTTTGGCCTTTGAGTTGGCACTTACACGGTCATATTCCTCATGTGTTGAAATGAGGTTTGTTTCCTTCAGTCAGTTGCCTCTGTCCATAGTTCTTTGCTCCCCTGTTCCTGAGAATCTCTGTTCCTTTAGATCCACAGTAGGCTAAAAGGCCTCTCTCTCGCATCCCGGAGCTTAACTTTAGCCATCCACAATATTTAAAAGCTTTTTTCAGAGGACTACAGGCCACCTAAATCATTGAAAACCCCTCTCCCAGCCTCAGAGGAATCCACCCATATACCTGACTCGTTCCTGCTTCCCTCCCCTGCAGTCTTTCCTTTCCCAGCAGGCTCTTCTTAGCAAGCAGAGCTGTGGAGACTCCAAATCACCTGCTGAGGCCCTTATATCATTGAGAAGTGGTCCGAGCCCAAGTCAGGCTCCCGACCTTAACAGAACATACGGGTGGTGAAAACTATCAACCCTCGGCCTCCTGGGGTTTCTGTGTAGTGCTTACTCCCAACTCTAGGCTTTCCTAAAAATTTAAGCAAAGAAACTGCAGTCTCAGAGAATACCTTCTTCTCACCCCACCACAGGAGCTGCTTCTAGAAGAGCTGAACCTCAGCTCTCCCTGCCTGTTCCTAGAATAGAACCACCTCACTAGCTTTCCAGCCTGGCAGTGTTTTACAGATGCAGACGGAACATCTTTCTCTCACGGAGCAGCTGGTGGGCGAGAACCACCAATCTTTCAGTTAGCAACTCAGGGCTTAACTGTTTCTTCCTTCCCCTTCTCGTTTCTTTTTTTGGTGTGTGTTTGTGGTATTCTTACTTAGATTTCTAGTATACCCAACAAGCGAAAGGCACTCCTCCTGTCGGACACTGGGTCTAAAGCATGGCCCACGTCATAAGTAGTTGGTGAGTAAAGGACCAAAGTCATCCTCTCAGCTCTGAGGACCCATTGCCTCCTTCCCAGTGGCCCCTGCCTCCCCCTTTTCCCTTCACGCACAGCGTCAGCCTGAGGACTTGGGTACCTCGTAGCCAATCTTTTGCATTTGCTTCATGAGGAATGTCAGATTAAAAGGCCCTGACCTTTGGGCAGGGAGAGTCCAGTTAGTCTGTGGCAGTCACCATCCCCAGAACAGTACAGCTGTGACGCTCACAGGCCTCCTTCCTCCTTGGCACCTGGCTGTGGATGGCTCAGGGAAGTCTCCGGCCTTTCCATCAGCTAATCTCGAATCTGCTCCTTTTCAGAGGGGCTGCCCCACAGAAAGCAGTGAGCCGGGGGCAGCTGAGGAACCGAGAAGTGGTTCACCCAGTGCCAAGTCCCTGTCTTCAACCATTTAGCTTGTCTCCATGCAGCCCGTGGTGCTGGCTGTGCTCTGAGGAGTGGGGGCAAAGGCCTGCCAGCCCCCATCCTAGAGAGGAACATGTCTCGGCGTTACTCTTCCGACCCTGGAACTAGCAGTGCCCTAGTCTAGTACGCAGAGGCCACACCAGAGTTTCGTTGCTAAGAGATATGACGGGCAACAGAATCCAGTAAGCTCTAATTCCTGCTGAGAGCTCACAGCTCTTATTCAGACTGGGGGACACGTTGTTTTAGTCAGATTTAGGGGGCTCTGTGGCAATCCTGGCCTGGCTTGGACTTTATTTGGGGCCCATTTAGGGCTTTCCATCTGCCATAGCCATTGGCCAGAACTCCCCACAGTATGTATTTTCAGAGCCTGTCATTTCTGGACTATATAGCATGACTCGGAGAAAGGCCAGAGGTTTGAGGATATGGACCATGGAGAACTCAGCAGTTTCTTTTCCCTAAAGCCCTGGTTCTGCAAAGAGAACTCACTGGACTTTGCTTCTCTCTGCACTATCCCTGATAGCCTCCACACTGCCCTTTCCCTGAAACATGAAAAGAGGTTTAAGGCCCTTGCCCTGAAACAAGGAGAGAAGACCATGGAGCCCACCATTATATTAGAGCTAGCATAGAATAACAAGCTTGAGTGAAGTCAGAAATACACTTTGGCTTTGGGTTATTCTATTCTCTTGGAGTTGCCAGTTAAGAGTTTGTGGGCCTTTTTTTACTTTCCTTTCAAATACTGGCACCGAAAGTCGAGGGTCAGCATAAAAGAGGAATACCCTTAATGAAATGGATTGGCACAGCAACTGTAACAGTGGTTTCCAGCATGTCAGAGATGGTGAGGATGGCACAGGATAGGGCAGCGTTCCGAGCCATCATTTGTAAGGTCACTGTGAGTCGTACTCGGCCCGGCAACACCTGACAACAGGAGGTTGCAGCAGAGTTTCCTATATTAGCAAATTCATTTGGTATTAAATGTTAACCCTCCCTGTTAACACAGCGGTTAAGGGATTGACTGCTAACTAAAAGGTCAGCAGTTCAAACCTACCAGTCACTTCATGGGAGAAACATGTGACAGGCTGCTTCTGTAAAGATTTACAGCCTTGGAGCCTCAGGAGGTGGTTCCGCTCTGTCCTGCAGGTTCCCGGGGAGTCAGAGTAGCAATGAGGGCAGCTCTTCAGGACATCCCCTTCGACATGTCCTTGACACGAGTAACAGGTGTACACATGGAGAAAGAAAGGGATGAATTGGGGGGTGAATGTGGGGTAAGAGGTCTGGTCCTTCCAAAGCTGGGTCCTGACCACTTCCTAAAGGTGACTACCTCGGAAGGTTCTGGGCGCCTGCAGACCAGCTTCCTCTGAGGAGGGGGTGGGACGTGCTCCGCCATCCCTACCTCCTGCCGGCTCTCCTCCCACCGATGTCTCCTAAACTCTTTGCTGTCTTCCTCTCTCTGTTTAGGATGAAGGACACTAGCCGCAAGAACAACATGTTTGCACAGTTTCGGAAGAATGAGCGTGACAAGCAGAAGCTGATTGACACTGTGGCCAAGCAGCTCCGGGGACTCATCAGCAGCCAGCACTCCTGAAGGCGGGTCTCCGGCTCACAGAGGCGCGGCAACCTTCCCATCCAGGAACTCGCCCTGGCTGGCCCTGCATTTGTGCATTCTTCTTCAAAGAGAGCATATGTATTTTTTTATTAACCCTTGTACAGTATTCATATAACCTTTCCTGTAGGAAAAGAGGCACAAGAATAAACAAGGGGATGAGATGTTGCTAGGCTTGGCCTCTGGGGAAGTTGGCACTCCCCTGTCCATGTTATTCAAGTGATGGTCTAGGATAAGGGCTCATCAGCCGTCCCAGTGCAGCGAGTGGCCTCTCGTCCGTGATTCCAGAGCTTGGGCCCGAGGTTTAGATACTGCAGAAAGGTAGACCTTGGCACCGGGAGTTAGAGCACGTGGACAAAGCTTAGTGAAGCTACCCTGAGGGCTCCTAGGAGCCCTAGTCACTGCATAGATGGGGCTGATGGGTTTTGAAGCAATCTGATGAATACTTGGCCACTGTCACTGTTCAGTGCGCTGAAGTCCAGCATCGCTATTCTAGAGGTTCATCTCCTCAGACTCTTGGTGTTCGTTCACTGGCTGGTCAGCAAACACGACAGGGGGGCAGCTTCACTACAGGTTCCAAAGGATAGTCGTTTGGTTAACCTCAGTCGGAACCACAGCTTTTGCTGCTAATTTGGGGGACAGGATAGATCTGAGGAGGCAGTGGTAATAACTAGCGCAGGTTGCCTTTACTGTAGGAATACTGGGTCTCAGCCCAAAGAGTTTTGCTGTGTTTTCAAATCCAGCATTAATGGGCACAGAGCCCCAACCCCTTCCCAGTTCATCTCCTTCTCTACTTTCAGGTTTGGGGCACTTGGTCCAGGGTGCAAGTCACCAGTTACTTCCTGTTGAGTCTCACAAGAAATCCTAGATTTAACCCCTTCCAGCCAGAGGAGATGGGCCCCTGGGATAGGTCAGACCTCAACAGATTGAAAATAACTCTTATTTTACTTTAAGGCTAAATATTGCTTGAGATTGTCCCTTCATGTTTGAAAATCCCCTTTCTGGCCACCTTAAATAACACGAGCTGTTCATGGTGAGCACAGCCCTTGCTGGACTGATGTCTCCAAGAATGGAGCCACTGTCGCCTTGCACTAGACCGAGACTGGTGGTCTGTTGCCTCTGAACCTGCTGTTCTCAGGAAGTCACCCTGGATGTGAAGCTCTGACCGCGTAAGCTCACAGCTTCCATCTTCTCTTAAGATCCTCAAAGCCTCTTCTGGCCTCGCCTGAGTAAGATTGTCTCTAACCCTCACCCCGCCACCTCTGGAGTCTGCACAGGAGGTAACTTGGCGTAGCAACTGGGACACCCTGCAAGGGCTTCGGGGTTAGGTCAGTCAGAGGAACTCGCACTTTAAACACTGTAAGAAGGTGCTGCCGCTGCCACTGGCAAACTCATAACTGTGCGTCACCAAACAGTGACAGATGTGCCACACTGGCATTTCCAGCTTGGATTAGTGGGAGGGGCCTCATCAAGCCTAATTCTTGACTACCTTCGTCAGCTGCCACATTGCTCCTGGGGAGGGCAGTGCTTCCTCGTCCACCCCCCACCCCCTGCCCCCTCATATTCAGTCACAGCTTGAACACCGTGGGGAGGAGAATCTGAGTGTGGACATAAGCCTGCCAGGCAGCTGGGGAGGCCAGGTTACCCCTGAGCTCTGAGGAAGCGTGCGAGGCACACGGGAGGGCCCAGCCGGTGGCTGCAGGATGAAGGTTCTGAGGCAGGAGGTCAGGCATGAGTGCTTCTCCTCAGAACTGCAGGAGCCAAGGTACTTCAAGACCCAGCATGCAGTCTTCTCCCACATGCTGGAGTTTGTAAAAAACAGCAAGAAGTGACTGTGTCCTGTGTCGCTCTGACGTGCTTGATGGGAGCACAGGCAACTCCTGTCCCTCGTTCTCTGCTGAGGGAGAGATTTGTTCAGCTCTGTACGCTGAGACGGGGAGGGGCGGGAATCTAATGCCTGCTCCAGTTGGCAGTCGATTTAGAGTCTTCACTGCTAACCTGGTCTCATGCTGCCGCCGTGGAAGATCTCAGCTGTGGAAGTCAGTGGCTGGTGTGCAGACATGAATGTCACCCTGCACATGGAAGTCCCTGTGAAGGGAATGCGTGGTCGCGACTTTCATCACTGGGTCCCTGAGTGTGACCCCTCTCGCCTTTCATTCTGTCTGCACTCTTCCCTAAGAGAAAACAGCATGACGCTATTCAGTTCAATGTAGGGATCCCCGCATTACTCAAGCTGTCGAAGTGGTTGTTTCTGTCTTGGCCTTAAGCACGCTAAGCCACGAGAGGAACTGGGCTAAACTCATATCCTCAAGCCCATGAGGCGGTGGGGATTCGGCCTTGAAAGCTCGGAGGTTTGGGAATGGCCTGGAAGCTCCCAGAAGGAATGTACTTGGGTGACTGGAGGCCTCCCTGCTGGCTGGACAGTGTGACTCTCAGTTAAATTCTTGGAGAAATGCCATCAGTGTTCTGAAAGGCTGTTCTGGTTCTGGACAGTAGTAATATGGACATTGTGTGCGATTGAACGTTCACAGGAAAAGATCTGCGCAGACTGAGGATGAACCTGCTGCGGAGGAGAAAGGATAGGACCTGGAAACTGGAATCAACAGAGTCCAGTTGGTGAAGGGGTAGACAGCTTCCAGCAGGTGTCCCCAGAGCCCCTGTCGGGCACCAGGCCGGCGGTCTTCCGCAGCCACCTCACTTCACTGCACACCTGACACGCGCTTTCCCAACAAGTCCATCCCGGGGCCGCCGTCCTCATGCCTGGCGGTGGTCACCTTGCTGAGGAGGCCACACCTAACCCCCTTTCTCCCAGGACTCTTCCTGGTGTCTCTGGTGCCTCTTTTCTTGTTTGCATTTGCAGTTCTTTTTCACTAATGTGTCGGGTAATAACCTTTTATTTTGCACAAATAGTTGCACATTTACGGAGGGAATTTGGGGAAGTCCATTTTTAACTCTAAAGGGAACTTTTTCTTGAAAACTCACTGGTCGAGCTACTGAAGCAGCCGGGCTGCATGCTTGGGAGACCCGGGTGGGAAGGGCATGTTACTCCTCCTGTACGCTTCTCTCTTTTAACTGCTATTAAACAAGACCGCCTGTGCACCTGTTCAAAAAGCTGCCACATTGTCTCAGAGTTTCTCCTTTGTTCTGTCCCTTTCACACATTGCAGCCCCACCACTTGACTCAGAGGCTAGATGAAGCACAAGCCTGGTGGGACAGAGAAGGCCAGCTTTCCTGCCTGCAGAGGCCTTTGGGACATGACAGTGGGGTCAGGGACCCTTAATGTCCCCCCCCATGAGGAGTTAACACTGCATTATCGTCAAGAGAAGTAGCATTGGAAATCTCTGCTTTATGTCTCATGTTAGGCTCAGTAGCACAGGATCCAGTGTGTCTTGAACCCTGGTCTTCATGAGCAAAGACTTCAAGTCAGAACAGAGCAAATGCAGGGTTTTCTGGAAGAAAGTTGTGAAGGGGGGGCAGGGTGAGGCATTTCGAGTTCAGCGAGGGAGGCCTGTGTAGGAGAGAGAGTGCTCAGGGAAGGGAGCGCAGAGAAAGCAGGCTGCTGGTCAGCAGGGCCATGTTGCTGTGGGTGCCAGTGAATCAGCTCACTGTCCCTGAACAACAGGACAGCGCTGCCCGGTCTTGGGCCTGCCTCCACTGTTGCTTCATCAGAGCCTGATGTTGCAGCCACTGTCCCAGTCCGTCCATCCGATGCGGTCATCTTCTCTTTTGCTGACCCTCTACCAAGCACGGTCTCCTCCAAGACCTCATCTCTCTAAATAATATGTCCAAAAGTTTGTGAGATCAGGTGTCACCATCTTCATTTCTGAGGGTCACTCCAGATGTCTTCTTCCAAGACAGACGGCTTCTTCTGCAGTCCTTAATTTGTTTTGTAGTCTTTGCCAACACCATAGTTAAAAGGCATCAGTGTGTTTCCATCTTTCTTACTCATTGTCTAGCTTCTGCACGTATATGAGACAACTGAAAATACCGTGCCTTGAGTCAGGCACACGTTAGTCCTCAGAGTGAAACCTTTGGTTATTTAAAATACTTTAAAGAAGTCTCGTTGGTGCAGATTTACTAAGTGCCACCTGATTTCCTCACTCTTGATTCAGCTGTACTTTGAGGGATTTAAAGTCAAGATTTGTTAAAACTATGATGATGATATAAGTGCAGAACACATGAGAGTGAAATTTGGCAGAGGGTGTGGGCAGGAAGGCAGCTAAGAACTTGCTGGGTACAGCTAGAAGGGTGTTGAGTAAGGCCATGGCTGGTAGTGAGCGACCCTAGGCCTGCTAGCCCCTGAGGCCAGCATGGAGAATGGGAAACCAGACTGGACAGTGTTCTTCAGCAACAAGTCAAACGACTCCAGCTTGGTCCAAAAGCCAATTCCACAAGAAACCGGAGTCGGAATTGTCCAGAGCCGCAGTATGTCCTGGCCACCCTTTCCTCTAGCCCAGGTCCAGGCTGGTGAAGCCCCATGAGAATCTGGCCTGAGTCAGATGTAACCACAAAGCCAGCCCACCGTCCGAGTCAGCTCTCACACTGACCGCACTCATGGCGGTCACATTCCTGGGGCTCCACGTCTTAACAAAGTGGCTACCCATCTTTCTCCCGTGACTTACGCGTGGTCCCTTCAGAGCAGAAAGCTGGCCACCTAGCTCCGAGCATAGAAAGCTGGCCCTCTCGGGAGAATCTGCACTCAGAACCTTCTCTTCTCTAGTTGTGGGGCCCAAATCTCTACCTCCCTGCAGACCTCAGAGCCTCTAGCCAGGAGTCTAGGAACCCTTGGGATTTGTATGCACACGTGTGTGTATCGTCTCGTAGACATCCACTTTTCTGGGAAAACTGCTTATGGCTTTCGTCAATGTCTAAGAGATTTAGGACCAAAATGCTGAATAATAACCAAATCCCTTTGGAAATGTTGATCTCCCTGTGAGAGAATGCCAGAAGTTCAGAGCGGTTACTTCTCACAGGAGGGAGTTTGTCGCTGAGCCTCAGAAAC